TCTTTATTTAGTACCGCTGTTGTTGTTGTCAGTGTTATACAAATATTGGCGCGACGGAGAACGGTGTTAATAATACAGGTGGAAATAAGTCTGCCAGTGGACAATGGGATATTTATTTAGATTCTCAATATGATACATTAACAGGTTCTCTCATTATTGCATCGGAAGAAAGTGATACATGTTTCGAATATATCCATCGATCATTTCATATACTCAGTATCAGTAGTAAGCATTTCGATTTTTTTTTTTGTTCAATCAAATAAATAATGGATTTTTTTTTCGTGTTTATCTAGCTCCTATTATTCTTGTCGAAGCAATATTAGTGATAGTCTTCGCTTTAATGTTTATATTTGGTTCGTATAATAATGTTTTTCTTTTGCTCGAATATCATTTTTATACATTCAGGATGTAAATATTCTAATGATTGTCCAATACAACCATTACTTATTATTTATCATCTTATCGGTGGTGGTGTTGGTTCTCTTTTTTGGTTATGGTTAATGTTACGAGCATTACGTCGAAGACGACAAGAATCCGGTCTTGAAGATGATGATGATACTGATTATGATGCACATTTAGAAGATAGTTCTAGTGGTCAAAGACTTAAAGATAATGGAATATGGTTTATGGAATTATTAGCTTTTATTTTTCTTCTTGTTTCTTTTTCGATGGGAAATTATTGGACATGGTCCATTTTTTGGCCAGCACGAGATATGACTGAAACTCAACCGATTGATTGGTGTAATCATTCCTTGTATATATTCACATTAGTTTCAATTGGAATTATTTATGTGTTGGCTATATTTGTTATATTATTCATATTTTCATTCATCATTTTTGCAAGATATTGTGCTCGCGTATTGATGAATGAATAAATAAATAAATAAATAAATAAATAAATAAATAATACTATTAGATGAAATGCTTTAAAGAACCTAATATTAATCAATTGTTCGAAGAAGAATAATATTATGTCAATGTTTTGTTTTTATAATAAAATTTGAATATTAATTAGACAAAAAAAAAAGATGAACTAATATTCTGTTCTCTCAAATAATATATGGAAAATGTCTTTTGAGATTTGAAAATATTTTTGAATTATTGATTATATTTAGTGTACGAGTATTCAAGCAAATCGTGACATGAATGAGGATTTGTACGTTAAAAAAAATAAATCCTATCCAAGACTAATATGATCTTTCTAAGCCTTGATTATTGAAGAACAAAAGAATAGAAAATGTTTTGTTTTGAAAGGCTGAAAAATTTATTATTTTCATAGAGACGGGATATTCGTGCGGTTCACATGTCTCAATTGATTAAAGTATAAGCATCTTAATTGAATATATAAAATCGGAAAGAAATAGTTCAAAATACGTAGAAAAAAAATACGAAATTTTATCTCGTCGTTCTTTTGTTCAGATTTATTTCTAAAAATATTCATTGAATAATTTTTCAACTCACTCTTATTGACGACCAATCCCGAGAGTCGATCAGTGTTCAAATCCAATAAAACTAATAGTTTTGAAGTGTCTTCAAGTCATAATTGTTTCTATTATTGATGGTTAAGTGAAAGAATAATTGGTTTTGTTTGTCTTGACGTTAACTTGATGATAAATAAAGAAAAGTTTCATAGTGAATAGTAATAAGAGTTTTTCTACTTTGATATAAAATATATGATAAATAGAATCAATCATTTGAGGATTTTATTTTCTATTTCTGCGACAGCTGTTTCACCGATAACATTATAGCTGATGTTTTCTCTAATGAAAAGTGTTCAACCATGCGATATCAGATGTCACATGATGAAACATTCACTATAAACAAACCTTTTATTTTGATAAAAGACTGTTTTCTCAATGAAAGGCATAATCGCAATCATTCTGTGAATTCCGATCGTTGTCGTAGACGCAGTTCATACAGATGGAGCCAGAATATAATTGATAGTTTAATTAAATCTTAAGAAAAAAATTTTAATTTCTTTATTTGTTTGTTTTATTCTTAATTTTAAAATGAATAATTTATTCAAATAATAGCAAATATAATAAAATTCTTTTCTTCAACAACCATAACCCATAATATCGGTTAGGCACTCCATAATTTACCATGTATTCTTCCAAAATCTTGTTGAAGTAATTTATAAACAAAACAGTCAATTTTTTTTTCGTATCCTCAAACAAATATCATATTCATTTTATTTCATTTATCTTTATTTCAGATCTCGTTAAATTAAGTCTATCGAGTCGTCATGAAGTAAGATGCAAACAATATGTTTTATTCTTTCATCTGTTAATAAATTTTTCTTTAGACTCGAAATTTGCAATTATAGTGGATATAAAATCTATCCTGGTCATGGTAAACGTGTTGTTAAAGTTGACGGCAAAGTTTGTTTGAATATTCTTCTTTTTTTTTGTAAAAAGACAAAACAACATAATTTTATTCTTTTTAGGTACATATCTATTTAAATTCAAAATGTCAACGATCGGCTGATATGCGTCGAAATCCACGTCGTGTTACATGGACTGTTTATTATCGTCGTAAACATAAGAAAGGTGCTTCTGAACAAGAAGTTAAAAAACGTACACGACGTAATATTAAATTTCAACGAGCCATCACTGGTGTTACATGGAACGAGATTCTTGCTAAACGTAACCAACAACCAGAATTTCGAAAGGCTCAACGACAAGATGCCATTAAGTATGATTCGATAAATTTATTTTAATTTTTAAAAACTAGTTTTTTCTTTTTGTATATTTAAATAGTGCTGCAAAACAAGCTAAAAAGGTCAAAGCTCAACAAAAGAAAGTTGTACAATCAACTGTTCTTAAGGTAAATTTAAAAAATAATTTTATTTTTAATTATTAATTTTGTTTTATTTTCTAGAGTGGTAAGCAAGTGAAAAAACCAGAAAAGATTCAAAAAAATGTGCCAAAAGCTGGTCCAAAGAAGGGCACACAACGATAAACCAACTACGATTATATATATGTTGCCGCCTCGTCTTTTTTGCTCTGTTTTAGCAAACGTTGCGTGCGTTCATTTACCGTATCTCTGTATATCTCATCTAGTTTTTCTTCTTCATCATCATCATTCAACAAGATGAAATAAACAGAGAAAAAAAGAAGAATATTAATTAAACACTTATATTGATATAAAAAAAAAACAAGAAAAATAAATTTATCACAAAATTTGATTGACAATTATTTCATACGAGATCAATTTTATTTGTATAATAAACAATGAACAAGAGTCGAACTGATGTGCACGCTAGGGATTGAGATTTTTAGACTCGTATCTGGACTTTTTGTTTGATAGTTTATAAGACAAAATTAATTTAAAAAGCATCATTTTCGCAAAAACATGTATGAAAATGATGTTCTATTTCATGGAAATTTTGATACAAAGACGAGAAGTTTACTGAAAATAAACACAATATTATATAATTTGACTGATGCGACTGTGCTTACTCGACATTGAGATATGAGAACATGATAACTCAAATTCAGCTTTGACCTATCGATTTGAAGAAAATGTCAAAAAATATATCGAAATGGATAATCATTTTCATGGAGTTTTTTGAATATTTTTACGACGATGGTGAGCCTTAAAATAGTATTTGATAGAAAAAAACCTCCAAAACTCTTTTCATTCGATTATTGAAAAGCACAGATCGCTAGCTACGACTGTTGTCGCGTAATTGAGCTTACATTTACCTCTCTTTAATTCTGGCACGAACTTTAGAATCATGACGTAAGTATTTCAAGAAACTGAAGAAAAAGAATTTTGCTTTTTTTTAATGATTCATTCAATTGTTGTCTATCATGAATATTAGATACTAGAGATTTAAACAAATTGATTGCTCTTCGAAATATGCTACATATCTCTTTCGTTCTTTAATTAACCTATAAAATGATTGATGATTTATTATCAGAACTTACTCTTTAAGAGCCACCACATCTCAAAAAAATGATATTGAATCAAGTATATTCCAATCACATGAAAGTTCCAGGATATGTAGAGGTTGTGGTGAAGCAGCTATGATAAAATTTTTCGCACTATATCATAACGGTTTCGCAAGATATTCAATAAACAAAATTTAATAATAGCTGATTTGATCCTTCGCAATTCTCTGTGGACATTCATTCTATATATTTAATTTTCTTTTCGTTTCAAAGACCATATGAGGATGCAAGGCAATGATAGAGGCTTTTCTTTATTCTTACTGTTTAAGGAAAGAAGAAATCAATGCTCTAAAAAAATGTTGCTCTAATTATGGAAGTACTCTTTTATATGATAGTGAGAAGGCTTACTTCTAAAAAGAGACTCAGTCATGTTCTGTATTTTAACATATTCTTTCGAACAAAAAAGAAACCATTGACTACAATACAGTTTCTTCTGAAATTCTGGAATATGTAATTAAAGAAAAATATATATTTCAAGCAGAAAATAACGAAAAGTCTTTGAACAAAATGAGGTGCAGAATAAAAAGTCAAAATTGAAAGTATCATCATAAATGAATTGTTAACAAAAACAATTGGCATATAATGGACATAGTTTTCTTTATAAAATATTTATTGTATTCAGTTTTTTTTTGAAAACGTTCAGATGAACATTTAGTCTCATGATTGATTCAAACCATCTGCATTTTTTCAGTGTAAAAGCCGGAAGGATTGCGATCCTCGAAAATCAGGTTAACCCTCCCGGAAGAGAAAATTTGGATAAAACAGTGCAATCAGCAAATCAATAAAAAAAATATTTTTGAATTTGAAAACCACATACTTAAACTTCCATTATTTTTGATATTTTTAAATATTTATAATGAAATAAATAAAGCAATATATATAATAAAGTTTCTCTATGCTGTTTATTGTTTATCTCTTTTTCTTTTGGATGTAAATAAAGAACAAGAAAAGAAAACTGTCTACGGCAAATACACACTGAATGATTGAAGTGGGAGTAAAAAAAAAAAAAAAAGAGATAGTGTCTCTATTCATTTGGAACTATTATTAACCAGGTAAAATACCAGATGGCCGTTGATCAAGTTTCTTTTGTTCTTCAGCTTTTTTCTTAGCTGAATATTCTGGTGACCATGAACCATATGAACCTGTATATTTTTTAATATCTTCTGGTGATAGTGTTACTTCCTTTTTAACTATTTCTTTGACTTGTTTTTCAATAACAGCTTCAAGTTGAGGTTCTAATAAATAAGAAAAATAGAATTTTTATACTAAAACTAAATAATTTACCTTTAAAACTAAGGTGAGGTACCGAAAGAAGATCTTCTGATTCAGCACCATAAGCATGTTTTAATTTATTAAGTGTATCTTCAAGACTTTTTCGTACTTCAGTTGTAGAATCCACAAGACCATCTTTTGTTTGTCTAGAAATAGAAAAGACGTCATCAAATATTTATTTATTTTAATTTATTGAACAACGAACTTTCGTTTTTCATTATATTCACGAATTTTATTGATAAATAATTGTTGAATTGGATCTGTTGCTTGTTGTTTGGGTTGCTGTGCAAGGCTTGTACTTAATGATAAATGACGAGCAACAATCAAACCATATGAATTACGTAATTGTGCAGAAACACACCGATTCAACATGATAGGATTTCTAAAAAGTATAAGCTTTGTGATTGAGATAAAATTTAAACGAAAAGCAAATTGTTTTGTTTATTGTTGGCATTAGTAAATAATTTTTTTCTTCTCTTCGTTTTTTTTTCGGAACAAACCAATAGAAATTTTTTTTTCAAAAGAGGCCACTAGATACGCATGTAGTCGATGATAGAAATCAAATAATATATGAATGAAAATCTTTTTCTTTATTTAGCGTTAATCTTTAAGTTTCATCCACAGAAGAACTTCCGAAATGAAGTCTTTGTTCAATAGTTACGAGAAAAAGAAATGTGAAGAATGAATTATTGCATTGAAACGATCATTAACATTGGAGACAATCGAAACGGAAACGTAAAGAAGTTATTAACGTATGAATAAAAATAGATGTAAAATAATATATTGCTGCAATCCTGAAATGATGTTAATAGAGGCAATAACAACGGATGGTGCATTAAAAATGGAACACGTTTCTTTTCTTGAGTAGTGCAAAAATAGTTCGGAGACTTCGTTCCTAACTCATTTGATAGAGAATTTTTCGCTAGACAAAACTCAACTGGTTGTAAATTAAAATAGTTCCTTTGTTTTACAAAAAGATAATGAAAAGTAAAAAGCATGCAAAATATTAACGACATATATGGGTACCACTGAATTCATTAGGTTAATATCTTAATAGCGTTGTTTTGAATCTCGACACCCGATTTATGGATATTATTAAATTCTTCGAAAGAGCGCAACTTCCATACTATGAAGTAAGAATACTTCACCGTACTTCTCTTGGGTGTAATATATTTGGAAAAAAAAGTACAGTTGAAAGCCGAACAAAAGGATTAGTTCATCGTCTGAATCATCATCTTCTTGGCACCAGAAAATAGAAAATCCAGAAGACAATTGACCAAATTGTATGATGTCTCAAGATCAACCATGCAAAGAATAATTAAACACGATTTGAGTTTCAAATCAAATTTAAAACATGTTGTTCCAAAACTAACAAATGCATAAACGCAAAAAAAGATTCCCGTTTGGCATATAAACCGGAAACAATGTCATAAAATCATTATCCGGAAAATTTTTGTATTCTGTTGAAAAATTATTTAATATTCATGGATCATACAACCGTAAATATGACAGGATATGGGCTTCAAATTGCTAGCAATCTGATATAAGTGGAGAAATCTGTCGAATAACAAAGTGACGTACGATAATACAGGAATCATCAAACTCAAACATGATGCGAACATTATTTCTAGAACTTTTGAACAACATCACGATGGTTGCCTAACAGTTCAGATTTTAATCTGCTTGATTACTTAGTCTGGAACGAGGTGGCACAAATAATCAATAAAAAACTTGAATTGATGAAACTCGTGGTAGTGTAAAAACTCAACTTGATATTGTTCGTTGCAGTATTGACTGTTGGATTAAAAAAGTTTATTGTATGTTAGAGAACAATTGTGAAATATGTTTTCTAAATAAAATACACGATTTCGTAATGCGAAAAATTCTCTCTCGAATGAGGTAAACACGAAGTCTCTGAACTAATATGTCTGTAATATTTCAAAGCAAAGAAATAAAGTGCGCCATTCTTTATGGATCAACCGTTATTATTGGATATTTCGATTTAAGATAGATTGAACAAAAACAAGAAAAATAAAAGTTCTATTTATATCTGATTTGAATTGTTCACAAATAATAGAATTAACATATACGTGACATTCAGGTTTCCGTGTCACTTTAGCAATAAAAAAGAACCTATCATTAATATGTATTTGTATATTACAATAAAAATTATTAGAAAATAACTACTATGAACGGCACAAGCTCAGTTTTCTGAAACAAGTAAGTAATCAAGTTCTAATGAATTCATTTCGTCTCTCCTCTCTTAATAGTGGACAGTATAACGGTTTTATCTGAATCATCTGATGTCTGTTATATTCCATAATATGTATTTCTTCTATATGAAATGAGAGAGAGGGGAAAAAATCAGAAGTAACAAGACCAGAAAGTGCGATAATCTAAACATGGAAGAAAAGAGGTAAACGATAAACTAATTAGAGATACATCGTTATGGCAGCAGAAAAAAACAACAAATAGTGACAAGAAGATATTAGCACGTCATGCATAAACAATTAATAAAACTAAGGAGCAAAATCAGATAGCAACGCATCAAAAATAAACCGACAACGTCATAGACAGTGCGTCAGAAAAATCTTTAACTCTTCAATTAAATTTTTCTCACAGGCATGACATATGAAATCGTGAGTATTATATCACTTACTTGTACATCATGAGTTTCAAATTAGTGTTATATTTTTTATTGAGAGAAAAGATTTACTCAAAACAATTTAGGAAAAATTCAATATTTTTGTTATTACTTTCTGTTTAGTGACGATTGTATTGTCGCCTTGGTATTCATGTAAAAAGTGTCTGAAATTTTGTTAAAAAGAAAACAAAAACAAACTACGAATGCTGAATAACAAACAGTAAAGAAGATTACTCATTGCTTTTCGTTCATAAAATATTGATTAGCTGGACTTCAATTCTAGTCATTAAGTACTATATCGTTAGTCTGAATTAGATGGAAACCGATTTACTATCATACTATCGATCTTCATCTAGCGATAAACTTTTAAGATAGTTTATTGTAGCAGAAGAGAGAATTCAAAAAAAATAACCAAAATGTCGATTATGTAGTGTTTAAATAATCACATGTCGAATATATATGTGAAGGGAAGTATAATCATCAGGATAATAATGAATAAAATCGTGAGACTATGGATTAGTCTCGCTACGTGAATTGCCAAGTCGTATTGAGTTTATATATATTGAGTTCAGTATAGTGTTACTTCAGTAGAAACAAATGTCATGGAAAATCTGCGAAAGCTATTGTTATATGTTGTAGTGCTGGTGCGCGTTATTCATGAATATTATGAAGTTTCAATCGATTTATTTGACAACAAAATGTGATTTAATCAAAGAAAAAATATTCTCAATTAGAACTGAATTTAAGCAGCAGGAACTATTTACTTTCTTCACTATGATTGTTCTTTATTAGATATAATATCCTTTTATGAATGAAATAAGAATACTGAAAACCGTTTTTTTTTTTTATTTCAATTTGTTCTTTATATTTCGCAGGTAATGTTCATTACTAACCTAGAATTCTGACGCGGTACAATAATGAACAACTTTCGTATTGAAAGAGTCGAAAGTGCAACAGTTGATTGTAGAGATCCATTATCTTGAAACAGATCCAATGTATTATGTACATTAAATTATTTATGAAACTCGCTTCTCTTCCACTAGATTTCCTACGCAAATTAATATTGCGTGTATTCTGTTTCACAATTAAGTGTAAAGCCCCGTGAAATATTTCCATTTATATCATTAATAGTTCGTATTAGAGCAAATAAAAGCTCTATTAGTTATTTTCTCTATGTCTAATGAGCTCTATTTTAATTAGTGTCTAATTATTGTAAATAGGTTTTTTTCCTCTTATTGTTCACAGCTTCCATCTATTGAGAGTGTTTTCAATAGAGATTCTCTCTTGTTGTTTTCCTTCTATTTTTTCCTGTCAACCGATAGAAACCGAAAGAGAATGTATGTTAGTGAATTCAATATGACCTCTTCCCATGTTATTACTTCACCCAATAGAACAAGAGCATTACTGCTTATTGCTAGTATTCTAAAAGAACGGAAAATTTTTCTTCTCTCAGTATAAAAGAAACTCATCCTTCTTGGTTAAACGGAACAAGAAATAAAAAAGAATTTTTTTTCTTAGCCTGTCTTTTTCTTGTCTCTTCTATAAAAAAAAAAGAAAATCTTCTAGAATACATTTGTGTCTTCAAGAATAAATTATTGGCTTTTATTTCTCTTCGAATCGTTAATATTAACAATGAATATTAATCCAATTGAAAAGAAAAAATATACACGAGAACAAATAGCTGAACGAATAATTAATCATGGTGATTTACTTATTATTTATTACAATAAAATCTATCGACTTAATTCTTGGATAAAATATCATCCAGGTGGTGAAATGGCTATTTTACATATGATAGGAAAGGTAAGATTCAAAATAAAATATATGTAAGAGCCAAAAAATAGGACTCATTAACTGATGTCTTATCAATTTTAGGATGCAACTGATGAGATAAATGCTTATCATCCAGATCATGTTTTACGCAATAAATTACCATTATTTTATTTTGGAGATGTGAATATTAAAGATTGTCATGAATATAAATCACTTAATCCACCAATTCAATTTTATAATCATGAAAATGATTTAAATAATAATGGTCTTATAACATCTGAACTTTTATTATCTATTAATAATAAAACAATGATACAAGATTCTAATGAACATAAACATATCATTCAAGCATATAGACAACTTTATTATAAACTTCGATTTCTTGGTAAAGAAAAAAATTTTCTTTTTCTTTTTTTTTTTTTTTTGTAATTTTAAATTTTAATAATTATTTATTTTAATAGGCTTATTTCAATGTAATTATTATGATTATGCTCGAGAATGTTTACGGTATTTATTTCTTGCATTTTTTGCATTTTATTTTTTTATTAATGCAACAAAATCATGGCATTATTATATATCAGCTATATTTCTTGGTGCTTTTTGGCATCAATTAACGTTTACAGCACATGATGCTGGTCATTTAGCTATAACACATGGGTATCGTATTGATTCATATATTGGAATATTTCTTGCTAATATAATAGGTGGAATATCAATTGGATGGTGGAAGTATCATCATAACATTCATCATCTTGTTACAAATTCACCTGAACATGATCCAGGTAAGAATAAAAGATTTGATATGAAAGTTTGACAAGCATAAGAAATGCTTGAAATTGTAAGGTTACTTGATTAAAAATGACAGAGAAAAGGAAAAGTATTTTGCATATTTGAGTCTGCAGATTATAAAAAGATAAAAAGAGATTATCCATATTTACCTGACATATTATAATTT